ATATAGTATTATTAAAACATTTAGAAGAATTTAGTTTCTTTTTATTGTAAAATTTCTTTTGTATTATGAAATCATAGATTTTTTTATTATATATACTCCGGACACCATTATCATTGTCAATGGCAGCAGTGTCAATACCATTGGTAAATAAACAGCTTTTTTAACATTATTATTAGAATAATTATTAGTTATTGTTAATTTTTTATTTAATTAATTACTTTTATTTTATACTTTATCAGCAACAACAACAATAACAACAACAAGTGAACCTTCTGCTATAAGTGCAGCTGCTGCTGATAAGTTGCGGTAATGGTGTAGTGGTAAGAGCGCACGCTTTGTAAGCGAGAGGTTCGGAGTTCGACTCCCACCACGTCCCTGGAAGAAACGCGCTAAACTTAATTTCTCCACGCAGCGGCCTTGCTTGTCAAGGTTCGTGTTTCGGAGTTAAAAATTTGACAGAGGGTTGTACCACGATTTACAACAACAACAAAAAAACAAAAAAACAAAAAAAAAAACAAAAAAAAAATGAGTAGCTTCCTCGACCGTGGGGACCACCCCCACGGGCCTTGGGGAGGTGAATAATTAAAAAAAAAAACAAAAAAAAAAAGGTAATTTTTAATTTTACATTTCATTAGTATGTTATTATTATGTAATTGCGTTATTATTATGAAACAGTGTAATTGTGTAATTGTGTATTATGTATTACTGTGTTATTATTACGTAATTGTGTAAAATGTGATGTTTAATTTTATTTAAAATTCTTTTTTTCCTTATAATCTTTATAACTTATTCATTTTTGCCATTCACTTTTTATTTCAATGTTGTAAAAGATTTTTCTTTTGTTACTTTTATCATTTTAGATTTTTTATAAGAGGCTTTTATCAAAGAATACATTCTGGACCCATATCCTACGGGGCCCATAGGATATGGGTCTCTAATGAGGCAAATTTCCCCTCTTTTAGTTGGGGGAGAAGATGATATGGAGAGGTAGGAGGGAGTGGTGTTAATTACAATTACAATTACAATTAGATTAAATTTTACAATATCTGCACTGTTGTTTTTCTTTACCCTTTCTAAGAAAAATATTGCCAATGTTGTAAATATTTTTAACTATAAACGCGTTAATGACTTTTTTTTAACATATAAAGTGCCTTACAGTAAATAATACCAAGTCTTCGGAGTTACTGATACAGTTGCATAGAGTTAGGAGTGAGCCACAAAATAAAACAAAAATTAGCTTAATAGCATCATTATTGAAACTTCTATATAGTTTTTCAAGAAAGTGTTTGAAAAATGAAATTATAGTAAAAAGACTTTGAAAGTTTAACATAATTTAAAACTGTGTAAATTTAACATAGTAATAAAGTTAATGTATATTTTGATTTGATTTATTTCAAAAACTATTACTAAATAACAAAACTGCTCGAAAAAAGAAAAAAAAATGGTAGTTTTAACATGTATAATACCGAATCTAAAAACTAAGACTTGGTACCTTTTCCTGTGAGACCCTCATATATACTTTTTTAACAAAATGCTTTTCTTTTATATGGTTACTTTTCCCAGTATTTTTAACTATCTTATTCTTTTAAAATTTAAAATCTTTGATTATTTTATAATCTAAGTTTATAAAAGAGCTCCTAAGCGGTGAAAGGTTTTGAATAAATTAGCTACAAGTTTTCTTTTTAATTAATGTTTCACGTGTTTTTATGCTTATAGTTAACATTTTTTCATATTGTTATTAAATTTTATTTTTTTTTTCAATTTTTTACCATTTTTACCAATATCTTGATAGTAGACACTTTACTGTTATATAATTTTATATATATATATAGTACTATATATGCTATTTCATACACTATACATTTGCAATTCTGGCTTAATAGTAATATAGCTATAAAAAGCAACAACGATAAAGATTTAATTAGGCCATTTCTAAACTCCCTCTCCCCTTAATTTTTCAGCTTGCAAAATTTTATCACATTTATTGATCCGTATTAAAAACAGCTTTTTGTTAAGAGTTTATATAAAAGTCATTACGGAACAAGTAAAATCAATTGAGTTTTTTTGCTTCGTAAATTTGATATAGTTTAATGTAAAATCCTCTTTTTACTGAAGTCTTTTTCAAAAGGAGTCCTGTAGAAATTTTAGTCTAAACATAATATATAAAATGGAATGGAAATATATTTAAGTAAAATTTTATTATCCAGTGTTTGTATAAGGTTTAAATTTAAATTTAGGTTTTCTAAACATGAGTTAAACCTTTTTGCGTTATTTTAAATATGTGCAAACTCTACTCTTATTCTTGCAAAGCGTTGCTAATGTGCACTTTTTATCCTTTTTTTTTACTTAAGTTTATACTCTTTCTAAGATAACATTCTATTGTCTGCGTAAATTCTTGTTGTTGATTTTAGCTTAAAAATCAAAAAACTGCTAATTCAGCAACAAATAATATCCAATTAATTTTGAGGCTCATGTGAGGTCACCATTTAAAATCCGCAATATTTGGGTTTTTATTTAATACAAAAATCATATAGAATAAATACAGTATTGGAAAAACTTTTGCAACCAACATCGAACAATGCAGAATTTCGTTGACAAGTACAATTTTGCAGCGGACAAAACAAGTGCAACTTTTTTGGGTTGTTTCATTTTCTTAAGTCTGGTCCGTGTCAACGTCACGGAAGTTTTTTAATAATTAAACGAAGTATCAAGAAGTTTCCAGAAGTTCTAAGAAGCACGCAGAAGCTGCCAGAAGTTTCCAATAGAAGTATTTGAAAGCATCCAAAAGCATCCAGAAATATCCAGAAACATTCAGAAGCAATCAGACGCATCCAGTAGCATCCAGACACATCTGGAAGCTTCCAGAAGCATCAAAAACAAGCATCAAGAATCTTCCAGAACAAGTGCATTTTAATATATAAGAGACATGTAAACCGAAATGTAATTCAGTCATTATTATCAAGACAGTTTATCGAAGTGAGTTTTAAAAAAGTGTTTTATCGAAGAACATCAATACAAGAAGTGAAATACATAAGTGTTTCATTACATCAATACAGTCCACATCTAACCAAGACGTTGTGTTCCACAGAGCATTATTGTATCATCACAAGGTAAATGTAACACGGTAAGCCTTGATAAGCGTGATTATTTTTATCATTTTTATGACTTCAAGAGCAAAAGTGGCTCCCGACAGTCTTGGATTGGAACTAAGAAAAAAAATTATTGACGATTGCGTGAGTGGAACGTCACAAAAAAGTATTTGTGATAAATATTGCGTGAAAAAATGGACTGTATCAAGACTATGTTCCAAATATCGTTTCACGGGGAAGTTGGTAGCAGATAACAAAGGTGGAAGACTGCGTTCCACCACTTCTAGAGAGGATTCTATGATCTTCAGATTCATTAAGAAGGATCCCTGGATATCATCAGTCAAGATACAAAAGCAATTAGAGCTGCCTGTATCATACCGAACAATCAGACGACATGCTGTTGAAGCTGGATTGTTTTCTCGACGCCCTGCACAGAAACCGCTGGTTTCACTAATGAACCAGAACAAAAGACTCCTGTTTGCTCAATCTCGTATTGACTGGAATGTGCAGAAATGGCGAACTGTCCTGTTCAGTGATGAATCGAAGTTCAACATCATTGGGAGCGATGGCATTTGCCGTGTACGTCGACCGGCCGGAAAATGCCTTGGTTTGCGATACTGCTATAAGACCGTGAAGCATGGTTGAGGCAATGCAATGGTCTCGGGGTATTTTTCTGCCAACGGTCTAGGTCCAATACATCAAATCAATGGAATAATGGGCCGTTTTATGTATAAAAATAAATTAAATTAGCATTATTTGGTTGCACATGTTTTGCACTATACTGTATATCAATAATATAAAATAAAACTCGAGTTAATGCAATTATACAAATTTTAAAAATTCCCATAAAAAACGTGCTTGCACACTACTTTATGCTAGGTCCCAGTCTTTCTTAACAGTTTTTTCATAATAGTTCAAGCAATTGGCTCATTACTATTACGTAACAAGTCATAACATATTAATCTAAATGTGGCCTCGACAATGCACACCAAAAATACAAACAAGGACATCACCCATGCGCAACATGACATTGTTAATATTTTATTATTTCACAGCTGTTAATGGAACAAACCTCTCTGAGAATTACCACAGAATTCAGAAGTTAACTACTAGCCAACCTCCGAATAATAAAACTGAGTTTTAGAGCTGTACCCTTATTAGGAGGTAGTAGAATGAGTTGCCTTGTAATATAAACAGAGAAATAAGCAAAACCCATGCAATGAGTCAAGAAGTTCTGATTGAGGTAATAAGGGTTATGAAATTTAAAGGCTTTTTTGTTCCCAGCCTTTAATCATCGCGTTTTTCGGCAAACCATCATTATTTGACATCTCAAACACCAAAAAATCCTGGATCCGTTACTTTAAATACAATTAAGCGTCTTAAATGAAAAAAAAATCATGTTTTCTTTGATTTTCAAAATTAATATATACATAAAAGGTTAACTTGACTATACATTAAGTAGAAATAAGAATGTTCATTATTAATATAAGTTAAACCATCAAAATCATATCCATCTAGTTAAACCATCAAAACAATATTCATTAATAAACATCAATAACAAAAACAAAAAAATTCTTTTTGAAAGGTTTAGTTATCACCTCAAACTCTAAGTACAACAATTATTTTATACTTTTTTTTTTGCATTTTGAGCATGAATAATTTTTGGATTGTTGGTAACAGAATAGCGTATTATAATGTTTGTACAACTACCCACAGATCCGCTCTGTATCAAGGCTTTAGTTTTAATTATTTATCTTTTTCAATTCTCCAGAAATTTTCAATTTAATTCGGTGATTACTATGACCAACCCAATTTACAAGATAAGTTTTTTCGAACCTTTACTTAAAAATGTTTTTAAATTTAAACAAGGTAAAATTATTAATTAAAGTAAATAAAAAACTGGAACTCTACCTGTATCTGCTTTGATACACCAAAATCAGCAAGCTTGCAATTTCCGTCTAAATCTAACAATATATTGGCACCTACAATAAAAAAGAAATTGTTCATAGTGCTAAACTTAAATGCAACTACCATAAAAAAAACACTTATCCAGATGAATATCAAACATATGCTTGATAATAACATCATAAACCAAGCAACTGTCTTCTCATGTAATCCTCAAAGTATTTTAATCAAAATTATATACTAGCATAAGTTAAGCTCTTTTTTAAACTTATATATGCTATACATTTAAAATTCTTCAATAATTCAAAATATAAAAACGATACTAAGCTGTCAAAAATTAAAAAAAATAAAAAAGATGCAAACAAAAACTCTGCAGTTAGGAAGAAAATAATTGGGCTGTGAAACAAACCAATTATTTTCAATTAATAATGTGGGAAAACGCTTTTGTTGTTGTTGCTTTGCATACCTGGGTAAGGGTCTATGTGTGCTGTGGGGGATGATAAAATGTATTGCGTTTTGTTTTAATCTGGATCTTGCTGCTGCTCAGATGATCATGTTCCGTTATAGGTCTACATCTTGAGGATGTACTGATTAATCTTAGTAACATGTCCAACAGCGTGGGCTGATGCGGGGAGTTGCTTTAGTTGTTGTTGCCTAAATTATCTGAACAAGTGTCTGTGTACGCGGTGAGGGAGGTTTTTCGGATGAATTTACACCTTTGATTTTATACCATTTGAATTTATACCATTCTGACAAATACATGTTAGTTTAAGACTACTTTACTTTGTAAACTTAAATTTTTCTACCTAAAAAACAGGCTTTAATGTATTTTGTTGTACATTGGTAACTTAAGACTAATTATGTAAGTCAAAATATATTCTTTTAATGACACTTTCAGATATTTTCTATATTTTTATTTTATGCTCTCCGAATACATCAATAATAACCAATCACCTTACACTTTCATCTTCCAATCAATTAACACTTTCTCTGATAAATAGCGTTCTTCTTTACTGAGGCTTAGCTTGAGGAATATTTTTCTTTTAATTACCCGCAAAATACGTCATACAACATCTGTAGAAGTGGGTTTTACTTGCTTGTTTAGAGGATGATATCCCAACGGGGGTTTCTAAAAGTGAGCATTAAAACATTCAAAACTTCATATACCAGAGCATTGATTCCTTATAAGGGTCAATACTATGTTCATTTCCTGACAAGAATTTGGTATTATACTACATAATTTTTAATTTTATTTAAATTTTCTTTCTTTAAGCAAATAATGCCCACGCTTGCCTTTTATATTAGATGTTTGTTTTTGTTGTTTGTTGTAATACTTCTGCTTTATAGCTGTACTTAATGTTTAATGAATTGAGTAATTTTGTTATATTATGTTAATTGTATATCACGTTATGCTTACAACAACGATGGCAATTGTTAATAGTTTTGATTTTTGAATTATGTTAGAAAATAGGCTTAATTAGATGTTTTCGATTTTTTATCTAAGGCTAAAGGTGTTCGGTTTTGCATGAAAATAAACAGACTTGATGTGTTTGTTGGTCTTTAAGAATATAAACTAAATATAAAACGAATATTTCCTTTATAAGGGTGCATGTTATTTTTATAAAATAAATTCACTAAAACGATCAACTCCACTAAAGGGTATGAATTATAATTGAACTTGTACCAAGTTAAACAAAACTGTAATTAAGTAAAAACAAAAACAATTTTTGATGTAATTAATCACTTCTTTTCTCTAAGGCATTTACTGCTGAATATGTTCCATTAGTGACTATACTTACTTGTTCTAGTTGCAAACCTTGTATATAAAGAGAACATAACAACATCGGAACTGAGCAAGACTGAGAATCAAACTATTTGTAAACACACAGATTCATACAAATAAAAACATTAAAAGACACATAAAACTTTAACGTTTAGAACAGTTCAAACACAAAACACAATAACTTACAGTACACTGAAACAAAACTTACTTAAATCTAAGATTACCAACACTCGCTTAACTCAAACTTTTTTACTGAATAGTACTCTTCTTTCAAACACCACCTCTCAATAATGGATATCTGTCCAAATATTATAATTTATCTAGCACTCCTATGCACTTATAAAAATTATTTCTTCCTTCTCTTAAGACAATTACGGCCTGATGGTTCCATATAAGTTGTGGAACTTTAGCAACAAAAGCAGGGAAAAAAAATAGATAAAAAAAATAAAAAATTAAAAGATGGAAACAAAATCTCTGCAGTTACATACTGAACTGTACTTTTTCTAACTTTTCTTTTACATGTTTAACAACATTTATGTTTATTTTCCTTCGCGCTCGAAAGCTTCGCGAACTTTTAAACACCATTTTAATAAATAAAAATCTTCGCAACACCATGTAATCCCAGCTTTATATTAGGTTATATGATATGCATAAGAAAAAATCGAAAAATAATACCACATGTGCAACGGTATTAAAAATACATGGCTGAAGAGATCGGAAAACATAGGGAAATTTTATTTCGATAAGATCGACAAATTTTATTTAGGATCGGGCGGATAGCAAATTATGCAGATAAACTCAAAACCATCTTGTGCAAATAAATAATTAAAGAATTGTTTGAAATTTCAAGCTATGAGATCATTTACTAAATAAAAAGAAGCAAAAATATATCCAAATGTTTTCATCAAAACAAATTCTTAAATTCTCAATTTGCAAAAGTTTAAAATAGATTAATTTAATTTTTGACTTCAGAATTTATGACATCATGTTTATTTTGAATTTTCTATTTTATTTCTTGATTTGTATATATGGCTGATAATAGCCGCAAGGAATAAATTTTTTAGTTTTATATAAACATGCACTAGGGTGCATTATACAACTAATGATGACTGATTGTGTTTATCTTTCAGTTTCAGCCGTATGTTTTTTATGTTTTTATGTTCCCATATAAAAAAATATGGCTGATGTAAAAATTTGAGAGTTTTCTGTATCACTTTAGTAGGTAAAACAATGCACAAAAATATAAGTTCTTTTTTGTATATAAAACATTAAGACAATTAAATTTAAAAAATTATTTATAGTTTAAACTACTACAAAGACTGTTAAATAGTTCAAAAAAGTTTAAAACTTAACGATGATCACAAAAAGAAAGGCGCAAAGCGAGTTTTCAGTATAGTTACCAAGGGACTATGTGATTTATAACTATTTAATATAGTTATTTAGAATAATTATTTAAATCATTTACTCAAACCACATTTATGAACAGAAGCTGGAGTGCAGCATTATAGCAACATTGCTAAAGTCATATACTAATTAAACTCGTTTGGCTTATGGACCAGAAAACATTCCTGTCATAGTTGTGCCAAAGTGTTCTCCAGAACTCTCTTTAATTCCCTCTAAACTATTTAATAAGTGCTTCACTGAATCTTGTTTACAGGCCAGCTGGTAAATGGCATTTGTGGTTCCGATTTTTAAAATCTTTTTTAAGAATTCTAACCCTTTTAACTATCATTTGATCAATCTTCTATCTGTTATTAGCAAAGTCTTAGAGTCTTTGATCAACAAATTTGAAACATCCCATCTTGAGTCAAATAACCTACTGACAGACAATCAATATGGTTTTCGATATTCCCTATGGCTGACTTGTTAACTGCTATGACTAAACATTTTTATAGTGCATTATATGGAGGCTAGAGGTAATGCTCTTAAATCATCTAAAGCTTTTGATAATGTTTGGCCTGCTGGTCTGCTTCATAAGCTTTCTTTATATGATGTATCTGGAAAAGTTTTTGAAAATATCAAAAATTGTTGGTTCTTAATGTTTTAATAAAGTTTTTTGTTTTTTTTTTATTAAATTTATTTTTTTTATTATTTATTATATAAATTTATTATAAAATGTTCTTTCTAATTGTTTTATTAAAGTTATCATTGAAGACAAACACTCTTCTTCATTTTCATTAACATCTGGGGTACCTCAAGGTTCTATCCTCATTCCTGTTTTGTTTCTATATCTATTTTAATGATTTTTTTGATAATATCTAAAGTGGGCTCTATTTGCAGGTCACTCAAATTTATACTCCTGTCTTCACAAAACATCTGTTCTTTTCAATCACTTCAAAAAAGGCAGCCGATTTTGAAACTGATTTCACTTCTATAAAAGATTAGGGCTAGCAGTGGCTTTTTAGTTTTAACTCTGACAAAACTAGTTACTGCAAACTACTATCGCAATACTGTTAACATTCGTATATTAATAAATGGTTATCCTCTCGCTGAGTCCTCTTCGTTATGTCTTGGATTATCGTTTACAACTGACCTTTTAAATAAAGTCATATTTACAGTTGATTGCTTACTTAGCATCTGCAAAGGTTGCTTGTCTTTATTATGCTTGCCATTTTCTTACTCCTTATTCCATTCTCTACATCTTCAAATCTTGTCTTAAAGTTGCATCTCTTTTTCTTTTCTAAAAATTTTTTACAAATCATGGTTGCTGCTCTAAGGAGCTATCATCTCTAGTTCCATTAACCAAAACTCATTCTCGCTTGATTCATCATTAAGTTAAATTTCATCCATTTACTGTTTCTGCATGATCTAAAAACTTTTAATCGCCTAGTTTTTTTCTACGCACTTAAATACTTTGAAACACTCTCCCATCTTCATGTTTTTCTGACTCATACAACCTACAACTTTTAAGTCTACTGTCAACTGTTTCCTTGCTTTTTAAATTTTTTTATAGTAACTCCTAACTTAATAGTGGTTACTGCAGCCTTGTTGAGAGTGAATAAAAATAAACCAAATTTAACCTAATTTGCACTGATTTTAGTTGTTTCAATACTTCTTTTCAAAATTAAGCCTTAATTCAAGTCTATAATTGTGCAACTGTTTACAATCTTTTTTAAGTGTTCATTCTGTTTTAAATTTTTTAAGAACTTGCTATGAGATTAATTTGTAACTTATAAAAAGATCATCTCATATTAAATGGAAGATGCCTTATCCATGTTTGAATAGTTAAGGTTCTTTCTGCAACAGAGTTAATTAACTCTGAAATGAAAATGTTACAAAATATAGAGAATATTAGAAAATTATATTATTTTTTATTTTAAATGTAAAATATTCTAATAAGAATGATAAAGAAAGATGTGTTCAGAGAATAAGCCTTTGTCTCTTATTATTTTTTCCATGTCTGTTCTATTGTCCTTATTTTTTAATACTTATATAAAAACCATTCAAAATGTTCTAAATTTTTAAATCGATTATCAATTCTAGATCAAACAACAAGATAAAAAAAAATAATAATAAAAGTCTAACTTTTAATATCCCGGTGTATTATATTTTTACTGTGTAAGTAAACTAAACCATCAAGAATTTGATTAGAAATTTTAGACGCTGTGCTCTCATCTAGAGGTCCATTGTTTGATATTTTATCATGAAGAGATCCCTAAAAAGTAATGTTAAAGTTTTATATGCATTTTACTCCTCTCTCTCTTTTCATTCTCTCTCTCTTTTTTTTTTCTCTCTCTCATTCTTTCTCTCTCTCTCTCTTCTTCTTTCTCTTTCTCTCTCTCTCTCTCTCTCTTTATATATATATATATATATATAGATATAGATATATATATATATATATATATATATATATATATATATATATATATATATATATATATATATATATATATATATATATAAATATATATATATATATACATATAAATGTATATATATTTATATATATATATATATATATATATATATATATATATATATATATATATATATATATATATATATATACATATATATATATATATATATATATATATATATATATATATATATATATATATATATATATATATATATATACATATATATATATATATACATATATATATATATATATGTTTATATATATATATATATAAACATATATATATATATGCTTCTTGTTCAATTGGGAATTAAATATTTTAAAACCTTTCTCTTATTTTCAATGTCAAGTCGACTTAACGTTTTCGAGAAATTTTTTTTTATTAAAAGTTGACTTTAACTTTTTTTTTTATTAGATCTCCTTAAAGTCGACAATAAAAAAATGCGCTCCCCGCGGGATAACAATTCTTATAAATACACAGGCCGAGGTGACAAAAAGTGTGTATTTTTGTGTCACTGGTATCGCCGTGGTTCACAAAATTAATTAAAAGGTTTTATAAATGAAACTTTAAGGTAAAAAGTTAATTGAAAAAACATTACTTCAAAGTATAAATTTTATTCGGAACTGTTTTAAATTAACTTTAAAAAAATAAGTTTTAATGTCGTTAGAACTTCGGAAAAGGTTCGCATCTTTTATGCTATTTCGTTAATGATTTTGTTTTCAACAGTGTCTGGGCTAGATCTGTATTTTGATCCAAACTTAATAATATCTTGTCGACCTGAAATAGAAAAGATATGTGCTGTAATTTGAAATAAAGATACAAAGTTATCTACTCAAATCAAAAGTAAAATAAGAATAAATCAGCACCTTGTGACAAGTGATATAAATTAAAAAAAGTTTATGGATTATTTTAACATTTACCCTTATTTTTTTGTTTTATTCCATCTTATTGGATAAATATTAACCACAATATTGTATTAAAAAGATAAATCTTTTTAATACAATATTATTATACCTAATCAGGGTATCCAAGTAAATGCATTAAGTGATACCCTGTGATTAAACTAACATACTTCAGAAATCTTTATAAAAAACACTCTCTCACTTATATTGTCCTTTTGATTATACCTACGACTTAAATAAGATTTATAGAACTTTTATAGCTACTCACAAGACTCAAAAGTTTTCACAGATGTAGAACTTTTTCAAATGCTCTTAAATTTTACCCATCTCCTTGCCCTCATGTCTAAACATACTCTTGATACAATAAAATAAAAATTGAAAAAAATAAAAACACATTTATTAAAAGTTGAATTGTCAAAATTTGCTCCATAGTTATACACAAAATAACTATTTAAGTATTTGCTTACAGTGCATATATAAGTATTATTCACTATATTAGAAGAACTATATTTGAAGTGGAGGAGCCAATTTAAGTTTATTAATAAAGTAAAATAAAATAAATAAGCTATTTGATTACTATGTAGGCTATTTTTTTCTACTCTTGTATTGAAGGCACAGCCCACTTTGCACCACCATTTTAGCTGCTATTGAAGAAAATTTTCAATTTAATCCCTAAAGTAATATAACCTTAAATAACAATTTTTTTTTTCATAGTGTAATGTGATCATTAACATTTAAAAAAAATCTTCAAAATAAAAAAAAAACTTGTAATATATAAATAGAGTCAGATTATCTGCTGTATACTTTGCTATAAAACTTGAGACTGAGACAGAACTTTTTTCAGTTTTATTTATTTGATAATCATTAGTTTGAAAATGGAACTACAATTTGCTTGAACTGCTTTCATATTCAGTAGAAAAAGTTTTTATTTGTATTTTTTTTAAACTTGAGTACAGAATATTGATAAAAGTTATTTAATTATCAATTAAAAATAGTCATATAAAAAATAACTTGATATACAAATAAAACTTTAATTGTTTTTTAAATTTATTTGTTTTATTTATAACATATAAAAACATGCCAAAAAAAAAATTAAATTGTAAATAAGATATATACCTAATTCATTTAAACTGCTTGCAGTGCTACTCTTAACTTTAATTGCTTTTAAAAGTCTTGCTTTACATCTTAATAAAAAAACTTTAGTAAATTTTATTGTGTTCTTTTGTTTTTCTCATAACAATATTTCTTGCAAAAAATAAAAATGGCTACGTTAAAAACTATTCAAACAAATCAAAATATCTTTATATATATACAGGAGTTTTGATAAAAAGCTCCAAGACACTTTCCCTATAAATAAGATAGTAAGCTGCTGAATTTTGATAGTCATTTCAGCATCCAAAACCGTATAATCAGCTATTAGTGTAGCAAGGCGATGGCAATTATTTGTACAAGAACACGTTAAGTTGCCTTATTATATTTTTAGAATATTTTATTCAAAACATAATTTTTGTAAAAATCGTGTTCTAGAATAAATAGCGTTTTTGCTAAAACTCCAACCTGACTACTAATATCAGCCAAACCTAACAACTTTACTTTAATTGTATCTCTAGGAATTAAGACAGGAGAGGAACAACTAAACCCACTTCCAGACTGATAATTAATCTTCATTCTACATTCTAATTGATTTTCAGATAATGCATTTTTTATTCTTTTTTAATTTAATCATATATTGTTCAAGGCATTTTTATGTTCTTTACTTGTAAGTCTTGCAGGTATGCCAACTTGCCTACCATAAAATATAGTTAACTTGATACAATTATAGTTTCTTAATTTAGTAAAGGAAGGTGAATGCGTTATTTCCTATTTCCTAGTTAGTCTTGCTTTTTATTTAGTCTTGTTTTCTATCTTGTATTCTATTCTATACCAGTAGTCATGCATTCTCCTAACTAAACCATTGTAGATCACAAATATAAGAGTGTTTTATCTACTACAATATGGCGAACAAAACTATCTTGTCAACTGTTAAATAAGTAATATTAACTATCTTATAATATATAGATCTAATTACTATACTAATGTGTCTAATAACTAATTATAAGACACTTGTATATTACTAGTAATTATTAGTTATTAGACATTAGTTATAGATAGTATTATTCTGTATGATACAGGCGTTATAGTTTAGGCAGGAACAACTTTATAGAGTTTAAGACTGTTAACAGTCAAAAGCTCTTTATAGTTATTCCTGCCTAAACTATAATACCTGTACCATAAAGATTAATACTGCTAGTAATACTAGCAGTACTAATCTAGCAAGTCAAATACACTAGTAGTATATTAGACTTCTAATACTATTACAACCTATTAGTAATAGGTTGTCTAGTTTACTATATAGCAATAATATTTCCTTCATAAAAGCACTTAAATATTTCAAAAAATAGAAAAAAGTTTTAAAATAAGATTCTTAAAGTTAGTGTAAAAAAATAAAAAGGTTCAGCTACAATATAAACAAACAATATAAACATACAAAATTTTCAAAATGAAGAAATCAAAACAAAAACATTCATAAAAAACAACAAGTTTCCGGGAAAAGTGACTCCGCATGGTAAGGAAATTTGTTTGAAATACGAGAAAAATGGAAATGGCTTAAAATAAAACTGTATATCTCCTATATTTCATATATATGTTGTATTTGCAATAATATCCGTTAATAAGCTCTCAAAACTTTAACTGAGTGACAGAGAAAACATTTTTAACTCCATAACAGCATGATATATACAGTTATACTTCATAATTTTCAAGATATTAAGTGCCGTCGACCTTACGTCGATATTTTGAATTTGTTTACATATATAAGCTTAAAATGAGATATTTAAAAAAATACTCATCGACGGCAGTTACAAAAAAAACAAATTTGTATTTTTATTCAAAAACTACTATATTTCATTGAAATAGAAAAAAAAAACTTATAGGTAAGACTGAATTTGATGAAACTAAGATGAAAAACGTTAGGTCGACTCAATTTTGTCGACTTTCCACTCAAGTCGACTTTCCGTGGAAATTTTTTACACGATTTGGCGACTTTAAGGCGATCTAGTCATATATATATATATATATATATATATATATATAATATATATATGTATATATATATATATATATATATATATATATATATATATATATATATATATATATATATATATATATATATATATATATATATATATAATATATATATATATATATATATATATATATACCCAGTAAGCACAAAAACGTTTAAAATACGTTTTATAGATGTCTTTAAGGAGGACTAAAAGGCGCACTTATAGACGTCTAGATCATAAGGCTAAAAGACGTCTAAATGAAGTTGTCTTTATAAAAACGCGTTTTAGACGTTATTTTCAAGAAGAATTTAGGTACATAACGTAACATTTTCGCGTAGTATGTGGTATATTTATTATATTTATAACGATATATATTGTTATAATTTCGTATATACAAGATATAAATAGGAACCAGCAATCAAAATAATATTGCTGTAATAACCACCAACGGTTGATCAAAGATGAAAACAATAAATAACAATAGCAAATTTATATCAAAACAGTATTTAAAGCATTTATAACTTACCTTTATTTATTATAAAACTTAACTTACAAATTACTAGCTAATTTTTGACCGCATACTTGACTTATTATATGGCTTGTGGGTGTATAAAAAATAAAAATACTGATATTTAACTTATTTATTATTCTTGCCATTTTCACTTATTATCATGATCAACTTATTATTATTATCAACTATCAATTAAAAAAGCAAAATAATTAATAATATAAAAAAAATATATTAATATTATAGCAATTGTTGTAGTGATTCCTGTG